ATCACCGTCGTGTTCAGACGTGTTAGTTACGGTTTAAGTTACAGAGTGTGATATACTTATATATAATAAAGACAGTATTTAGAGTGTACAAAGACCAAGATTGTTGTGTTCCCTGCTCATCTCATCACATTTGAAGTCGTCCCTGATTATATTTCCAATAGACAGAAAGTAAAAAACTTTTTATATATATGCACCTATGTACAGGCATTATACTAATTATAAATGTGTTCAGCAGAAAGCTGCTTTGCAACTGCAATTGTAAAATTCGTGATTCTGATTACTCTTACTTAGTTTCGGTCAAAATTAAAAGCATACACCAATCATATTCACAAATTTTACAACAATTGCAAAGTAGTTTTCTCTGCTGAACACAGCTTTTTATTACTTGCGTTATATGTATAAACCGCCATTTGCTGCGCGTACACAAACAACCCGGCAACCGAGCAACGACTTGAATATTTCGTTGAGCACCGACGGCGCCAAACAGCAGTGCTGCAATTGGATATAAGTCCGTGATCGGAACTTCGGAAGGCTGGTTAATAGACTAAAATAAGGTAGAGAATAACGTAAGTTGCAAAAGGCTATATATTTTACAGTCTTTTACGTCTTACGTTTTTTTTTGTACACTGTTGGAAAATTTGTGTTAAATATAACATAAATCACATGTCCAAAACGGTCCACTCAAATATTTGTGTCAGTTTAACATAATATGGATATGTTAAATGGTAACATCGATACTATGTTAAAATATTTTAACAGAAAGGAAATGTTATTCTGATCGTAATTTGAGGTTAATTATGTGTACAATTAACATAATTTAGTTAAGATTGTAAGATAAAATCAACATTCTTCTTGTGTAAATTTTTATTCTTACTTCTATTATAAAGTAAAATCAACACTCTTTTTCTGTAAATTTTAACACATTTAAGGTGATTGGGCCATCAGAGCATGTTAAAGAAAAAAATCCGAATTAAATATGTTATAAAAAAATCATGCGTGTGGTCGCCACGCGCGTTAGAAGTGAAACTTCTGAAGGCAAGGCTTTGCCATAACTTTTCTGAAATTAATACAAAAACAATGCAACGGAATTAGTCACTCCAAGCCGCCCGCAACTCGAAAATATAGTGTTATACGCAGTTCTCATTATATCCGTCTTGCCAGTGCCGTACGCCTGATCAAATTTTCGTGACGCGTTTTCGAGTCGCAAAATCGAATTTACTTACCGATCCAAAAAGAGTTTCACTTTGTACGCCAGTTGGTCGAATTTCGTGACACTATTTCGTGACGTGTTTTCGTGTCGCACAATCGAACTTACTACCGTACCAATTAAAGAAGTTTCATTTCGTACGCCTATTGGTCGAATTTTCGTTACACTTCCCGTGTCGCACAATCGAACTTACTACCGTGCCAGAAGAAGAACCGTCTCGTCAACGCCGTACGCCTATTGGTCGAATTTTCGTTACATTTTCCGTGTCGCGCAATCGAACTTACTACCGTACCAAAGAAGTTTCATTTCGTACGCCTATTGGTCGAATTTTTGTTACACTTTCCGTGTCGCACAATCGAACTTATTACCGTACCAAAGAAGTTTCATTTCGTACGCCTGTTGGTCGAATTTTCGTTACACTTTCCGTGTCGCATAATCGAACTTACTACCGTGTCAAAAGAAGAACCGTCTCGCCAACGCCGTACGCCTATTGGTCAAATTTTCGTTACACTTTTTGTGTCGCACAATTGAACTTACTACCGTACCAAAGAAGTTTCACTTCCGTTACACTTTTTCGTGTCGCGAATCGAATTCACTACCGTGCCTAAAGAAGTTTCACTTCAAAAACCTAAATACGCTTAAATTTGCAATTTTGAGAAGATCTGACGTCTAGTTTTTGAGATATTAAATCTCAAAGTTGGCATTTTTAACATAGGTTTTATGGGAAATTGTACCGAAAACATACATTTTTCGAGAATTTCACTCACTGTCTGTAAAGAAACAAGTTCAAAAAACTGAAAATAACATTATTTGATTCTTCTAGCACTTGTTAAGTATAAGACAAAACGACGTTGACGTGTAATAAGGCCAAAAATTCAATCAAAAGTTGATGAATCGTCGCGTTTCTTGTCGGCCTTTTGATCAGCTGTACGCGACGTGAACATGTAGCAACGCCGCGCCGTGTAGTGTTTTCTTTCCACAGCACTATTCTTTTGCAAGCAAATCTCCCGTTATCGAAATTGTTTGTTACCTTCCATTATTTTTTAACATAAACACAATACATAACCTCACTCAAACACATGGCACTGGCATGATAGCTGCCTACAGCGAAGAGATGCAATGTCGCGACATTTCTCTTGTACGAATGTCAACTGAAGTCAAATCTTGAACTGTTTACATTTATCAGTAGATAAATTGATACGTAATCGAATGAAAAGTTACATTATAAAACCAGTAATTATACAAGTGTCTAGAATATATCCATAAAAATGGTTTTTCTTAAAAAAAAATTTAGCCTTACATATATTTACCCTTATATTGACTCATATGGTACATGGCCCAATCACCTTAATAAATACGTTTAAATTGTGTTACTTTAACATATTTTTTAAATTATTTTAATAATTTTACATTTTAAATTTGTAAAGTTCAATTAACATAGAAAGCATATGTTAAATCAACACATACATTTTACACAAAAATTTTAACAAGGATCTTTTTTAACAAAACTACAAACATTTTCCAACAGTGTATGCTTTACTTTATGTCCACGCTATCGACAGACGTCTCGTTCTTTGTCATCAGCCGAACGCTGCCCTGCCTTTGCGGCAACCCAATGCAAAATATTAACCATGAAATATTTAATTGCGGATTGTACTGTAGTAAAGCCTCTTATTCAGTCAAATACATTGAGGAAACCTTTCTCAATCTCCAAGAGATATTCTCCCATTTTTAAATAATCCTCCTCATCAATTCATCCGTCTTCTCCTCGCAACTTGCAAATCTATGAATCTCCCCCCCTTAGAAAGAGCCGAAGAGTTTAATCGGAGGATCATGTTAATCGGAGACGGTGAATCGGCCCATATCTACAGTGACGAAATAATAATCAATATCGAGTCGAAATCGATTTATTCTGAGTCGAAAAGTCATCGAAAGTTGTGCCATAAATCAATCAAAATCAATGAATATTTCAATTACTTTTGATACGTTTTCGACGTCAATTAGACGTCGATTCGATGGATTATTTCTCGCTGGGTAGTACGTACACTGTTGGAAAATTTTTGTAGTTTTGTTTAAAAAAGTCCTTGTTAAAATTTTTGTGTAAAATAATCAACACATACATGTGTAGATTTAACATATGCCTGCTATGTTAATTTAACTTAACAAATTTAAAATGTAAAATTATTAAAATAATTTACAAAATATGTTAAGTAACACAATTTGAATGTATTTATTAAATGTGTTAAAATTTACAGAAAAAGAGTGTTGATTTTATCTTACAATCTTAACTTCAACATAAAAGTTATGTTAATTGTACGCATAATTGACCTCAAATTACGATTAAAATTATCTTTTCTTTCTGTTGAAATATTTTAACATAGTACCAATGTTACCATTTAACACATCCATATTATATTAAATTAACACAAAAAGAGTGGGCCGTTTGGGACATGTGATTTATGTTATATTTAACACAAATTTTCCAACAGTGTACCAAATGGTTATCATATATATACAAAATATTAAATTAATATATTATATATAAATTAAAAAGAAGTGTACGAATACTTTTTGTGTACTAAAATAATATAATTCTTTTTATTTTTGTTTATCATTAAAATAACATATTTGTTTCATTATATTTTTTGTTTAAATAATTTTAAAAAATGTACCATCTATATATTATATGCTTTATTAATAAACTGCTAATTAGTGTTCATTTTCTACAAATAAGGCTTTTTCGTAAAAATTTCCCTTGTACGAATATTTTTTGCACTCACTGTATATACCTACGTATCCAATTGAGCGTTCAATTGAACAGTGTCCAATCGTTATGAGTCAAACGGGATACGCTCGACTTTTTTCTATAGTATAATGTTTAACTCATTTCGGTCTCTTTACTTATATGTTACATAGTTTCAGTAACTTCCCGGTTGTTAACCTATACAGGGTGTTCGGAAATTCAACCGACAAGCTTTCAAGAGGTTGTCAAAGGCACTATAAAGATCATTTTTTGCAAATGGACCTGGGATCGGAAACGTGTTGTTATACATCGCTACTGGTTATGAGCGATGTCATGCAGGAGAATGTCTTATTGATAGAGTAGGTGTGTCGTCCCCCATGATCTTTGCACAGACGATAGCGCCAAACCACAGACTGGCGGACTCTGGCGAACACGCCGGGGTTGTCTTTGATTTCACGTTAGAGCCTTTTGCCACTGATATTCCCGATGTCGTAGCGATGTAATGACACGTTTTCGATTTCAGATCTATTTGCAAAAAATGATCTTTATAGTGCCTCCGACAATCTCTTGAAAGCTTGTCGGTTGAATTTCCGAACACCTGTATATCTGTATAGAGACGGCTACGACATTTTTTACGTATTTTTTTACATCTTGCGTATTGGAAAAATATAATGAAATCGCATTTCAATACATTGTTTTGAACAATTATGGTAAAAGAAGCTAAGATTATCGCTGATATGAGCGATAACTAAGCACTTTCAATTTGTTACGCAAACTCACTTGATTTATAAGACAACTTTGCTAAGTCGCTTGCAGTTTAAAAATAGACTAAATAAATTAATGATTGCTTTACCTCCCATAATCCGTAGAAACAATGAGATATACTAATATCCTGTACTATAACGTCAAACTCAACAGATTTAGTCATTTCCAAAAGCTCTTTCGCTGTTTTAGTTTTTATCAGTGTGTCACATGCGTTAATGTAAAACTGATACAACAAATATATCATATATAATGTTCTGTTGTTTTCCCATTCAGCTGGATTATGATCCTCGGATTCGTCATAAGTTTGCATCAGATCATCGAAAACCTGAAAATAATAAGTAGGGAAAGCCCGGGCAAAACGAACGCCCTAGGCAAAGTAGATAGACTAAGAGAACGACCGGTCGCCGATGCCATGGGAGTGCGAAAGAACATATGTTTGCTCTCGTAAGTTTTTTATGAGGAAAAAATAAATTTTGTGTGTTTTCTTGCGATTTTCGCTAAGGTACGTAGCCTGATTATTAGTATAGTAATTGTTCCTTAACTACAGTAAATGTTTTTTTATTAAAATTCTCTGTTTTTTAAACTCTATTGGAGTTTAAAATTTTTCACTTGTTGCTCATACTTATTTTAACCTTTCCAAGTTCGCGCCAATTAAGTAGGTCTTTTGGGCAAATCGGGTGGGGGCAAGCGGATGAACTATATCCTCTTCGCCCGGTATTCATAGTCCAATATTCATAGTCAGATTTTATATTTAAGACTGTCTTAAGTACAATCTTAAGATGTCATAAAGTGTCATAAACCAATCACAGAGCCGTATTAGCATCTTAAGATCATCTTACTCACACGGTCTTGAAATAAGAATGGACTATGAATACGGGCCAGATTGTGACTGCTGTTTTTTTTTGTTTCAAGATGATTTTTCAGTACAAACGTAAAACAGACCAAACGAAATGGACCAGTCCCAGTGACCCACCCGCTTTACCCAGGCGAGGTCGAGCAAAGCGGACAGTTTCTTTTGCTTTAATTTTTTATTGCAAAGAGATTTAAATGTTTAACTTTTTTATTTTTTTTTTTTATTTTATTTAAAAGTTGATTATTTTGAGACAATTATTAAAATAAAAAAAGTTTCTGATCTTAATTTTAACTGTATCTTTTTTTTTGTCAAACCTTAATAATTAACACATCCGGGCTGCCCGGGCTTCCCCTACTTTTCGTTATACAAGAGAGGATATATGTATAGCTCAGTCAAATAGGGAAAATTAAAGGGAAATAACTGATGATAAAGTTTTGAAACTTGGCAAAGATGTTTATTCAGGCGTACTATTAAACATACTAAAAGTCCTGAACTCAATCTGTTGCGCTCGAGCCATCATCTTGGAAAAATGGCGCTCTAATTTAGTTTTTATATTTATAGTTTTTATATTTTTTACTTATATCGCGCTAATCATTAGCGATATCGGAATTATGTTTTATATAAAAAATAAAGCTTATAAAATTCTCTACAAAAAAGTTTTATACATTTTTTCCGTATGTATTTTAATTATTATTATTACTTTTTGAGTTACAAGGCTAGAAAGTTACAATCCCGCCGGCATTAGCATTACCCAAGGTGTACCGGCCAATGAAGACAAGACCCAACATTGATCCGGCTAGTGAAGGCAAGACCCAAGATTTGATCCGGCCAGTGAAGGCAAGGCCCAAGATTTAATCCGACCAGTGAAGGCAAGACCCAAGATTGATCCGGCCAGTGAAGGCAAGACCCAACATTGATCCGGTCAGTGAAGGCAAGACCGATTGACTCACAAGTAGGGTCACATCGAAGTCACATTGTGTATTTTTGGTTTACAGCAAATGCTCAAATGTACTACCATTCTGTTGGATACATAATTGCAACCCAATAACTTTCAAGTCTTGTAACTCGAAAAGTACTTCATGAAAAAATACTCAAATATAGGGTTTTGAAAAGCTCTTTAGGTGAGCTACAAGAATATGCAATGAAAAATAGGGAGTTCCATTTAAAAAAACAAAGTTGAACTATATATGACCTCGGCACGTTCACTCAAGGTCAAACCAATGACACCATCTTATGTCCCCCTTCGAACCAAACAACTTTTGTCTGTTTTGACGTAGAACTACGTCTTTCTCGGGGGGTATGGGGGTATGACTGCAACGTTTTCTTGCAACGTTTTCATGCAACGTTTTCTTTTTCTCGAAAAATATTAAAGAAAAATATACTTTATTATATAGTTTTTGAAAGCTCTCGATGTAAGCTAAAGCAGAAAATTGTTACGGTTGTTACAACAATGTTCTCTATGATTAAAAGAGAAATGTATGTGAATTCAAGTTAAATTGATATTACATTGAATGTAGCTGTTAAGATATGCCCATTTATACAGTTGTCATAACCGTAGTTCTTACGATATGTAACATTCGGTTATAAGACCCTCGTATATGGTTGCCTCAACCAAAGGATTATTGCTATCCCTCTTATGTGGTCTGCAGCACAACTATTATGGTTGAGAGATCCATAAGATATAGCTGCACGGTACAGCACTGAATCACTGCATGATTGAGAGTTTAGTTCCATTGCGCGCGCAAAAGAATTTCTGCATAGAATAAAGTGGATTTGATAAGGATGTTTTAACTTTAAGGCCTATCTACATAAGACGCAGAACGCGAGTCGCAAGCACACATACAGTCTACATGTCAATCTAACCTCTTTGTGTATAGAGGTTAGATTGACATGTAGACTGTGCGTGTGTCTTGCGACTCGCGTTCTGCGTCTTATGTAGATAGGCCTTTATAAATATACTTTTTTCATAAATATATTTACGAACATAAAATTTCGTAATGAACCGACACTGGTTTCTGACATTCACCCGACATTATAAGAAATATTATATCATATATCCAATTCAAAATTTTATTACTCTTTTTAAACTGAATTTGTTTCTTAAGATGATTTTTGAAAAATTATATATTTGCGCTGGTTGACATATGTAGACTATATATAACACTAACATTAAATTAAGAAGTGGTCTACCACGTAAGGCAGTTGGCTCACGATCCAGAGGTCCCGAGTTCGAATCCCACCAAGGTAAGTGTGTTTTTATATGTGTTTTTAAATACGAGAAAATATTTATAATCATAGACTGCATCTTAAGAAACAAATTTAGTTAAAAAATAGTAATAAAATTTCGAAATAAATAATTTTTTTTTGTCGGGTGAATATTTGTTCATTATGGTTGTAACATCCATATATTATGGTTGCAACATCCATATAGTAGCTACCTTCACTAAGGTTAGGGCAACCGTATGGAAACCATATGGAAACCATAAGTCACTTCCAGAGTACTATGGTTTCCATAACCCTTTTGTATGGATGGGCGAAATTAACAGCATTATTCTGTTGTAGCAACCGTAACTTTTTCTCCGTGTGGTTAATTTTTCGATATGGGTTTGTTCTCGAAAAGTATTAAAGGAAAATATACTTTATTATATAGTTTTTGAAAAATTTCGATGTAAGCTAAATGTTTTCGCTCATCGTTGGTTATGTTCTTTTGATACTTCATCGATTTTTCGAAAATTTTTTAATATTGGGAATTTTGGATAGTGCGACCTCTTCGTTGGTTGCTAAATGTTTTCGCTCTTCGTTGATTATGTTCTATTCTAATAGACGTAGTTCTACGTGTTAATTGCGGCACATTTGTTACTGTGCTTGTTAATTTTTTTTCCGTATCTTTTATATTTTTCGAGATATTTGCCTGGGGCGATTAAAATGAAACACCCGGTGTATATAGACATGTGTGCTATTAGATTTTCAAAAGTTAGCTGTCATATCCGCTAATAGAAATTGTGTACTTTATGTATCAATTGCTTCGAAACTAAACGATCAAAGGTCTTGTATTTTTGTAAGAATATTCTTTCAAATCTCTTTTATCGTCTTCTTGTTTTTCATTAAAACAGTTTGATCTCTACAATTAGAAACGTAATATCGGAAGCTGTTTTCCTTCTATGATACATGTAAAAAGTATTATTTTTGACTTCCATCAATCATTTTCTAATTGCACATGTGTGTAGAGCGTGCTTACATTAATATAATATACTATCCAAATTTTACAAGATTCCTAAGAAAATGAGTTTACGGACGTACTACCTTAAAATACAATATTTTAATAATAAAAATAAATACGGAAAAAATGTATAAAACTCTTTTGTAGAGAATTTTATAACCCTTATTTTTTATATGAACATAATTCCGATATCGCTAATAGTTAGCGAGATATAAGCAAAAAACTAAATTGGAGCGCCATTTTTCTAAGATGCATGGCGGCTCGAGCGCAACAGATTAAGTTCAGGACTTTTAGTATGATTAATAATGCGCCTGAATAAACGTATTTGCCAAGTTTCAAAACTTTATCAGTTATTTCCGTCAAACGTCAAAAATTTCCTATTTCACTCGGCTAATATGAAAATATGATAAATTAAAATCTCCGAAAAAGATCGTACGTAAAATAGAAAACAATATTTTAAAATAGAAAAGTTATATGTACATCTTTTTTATTTGTTTTATAATTTGCAAATAATCGATTTATATCTCTCAGAATGTCTTCCAGTCTCATACAATATCATCTACTTACGGCGTACGTCAAATTCTGCGCGAGTTTACCCTTGACCTTAGTCTCATGTGTGCTCACTGCGTGTACATGATGACCTTTGCGAAGCAGCCCTTTAACCAAATACTCCGTCCAGACGTGGTGGCTAGGCAACGGAAGATTCTGTATTACTAAAATCGACAATGGTTTCGACGCTGTAACGAGATCACTCATTAAAATACAACAAACAAGGAAAATGACACGACTTAACATTGTAGCGCAAAACTTCTCGCGTGGTCTCTCAATCAGAAGTGAAACAAAATGTATCTGTATGCCTAGTGTAGCATTCCCCCTCTCTTCATTTCGAGATAACAGCGTTTATTATAATGTTACTTTATATAACTTCAGGCTGGTAATATTAAGAATTTTTCGACAACTTAGCTATATATAGGCATAAAAATAAGAGAAGAAAAGATGCATAAATAAATTATTAACATCCCTCCACCTGGTTTTTTAAATCTTTATACCGCATACGTGGGTCTGTCGCGTCTGACGTTATTTTTCCTACCTTAAAGTATTTTAAAAATTTTGAAAAAATTCACAAAACATCTGCCTACATTGTAATTGACGAATTTATAGTCATTTTGATAAAAATTATTGATTTAATATTTTATTTTTAATAAACTTTGAATAAGGATAAAGGAAAAAGATGGATTTCTTTAAAAAGGCCGAAGCCGGATAAGAAGGATCAAGGTGCCCTCACACGGATCATGCTTATTTTTTTTCCTTTGATTGCTATCAGTGTCACTTACAATTTAGTCAAATATTAGCCCTTAATATTGAACCGTTTTGGGGTAAAAAATAAAAATAAAAATTTCGAAAATAATTCATATCTTTTGATCGGCTTAACCGATTTTGATGAAATTTTAATATGTTGTAGACATCATTGAGACACATTTGTGAAAAATTCGGAAAAGGTTTCTGATGACAGAAACATTGAGAAAAAAAGTAAATAAATGTTCTTGCCTTTTTTTAGTCCCGTTATCTTTCTGGCACAATTACGAAAAAATTTTTGTAGAATCTTGGAGTAGTTTTTTATCAAACCTAATTTTTGTTGAAGCAATAAAATGAGTAGGCGGTACTTTTAAAAAATAGAGTATTTTTTTTATTTTTCAAAAATATGATATGCTTTTGGTACGATTGCCATATATTTTATGTAGAATTTTGCGATAGTATTCTACAAGTAATTTTTTTCGAAACCCATAAAATAAGTAGGCGAAAGTTTAAAAAAATATAATATTATTTTTTATTTTTTTAATTATGATTGCCATATTTTTTGTGAACTTTTGAGACAATATTCTACAACAAGTAATTTTTTGGAATCAATAAAATGGGTAGAAGGTACTTTAAAAAACAAAATATTTTTTTCAAAATTATCAGTTTTTTGGTACCATCGTCATATTTTTGTTTAGAATCTTGGAATGGAATCCTACAACAAGTAATTTTCCGGAATCGATTAAATAAATAGGTGCAGGTACTAAAAAAATAATAAAATAAAATAAAATATATTGAAATAATTATAAAAGGATAAACTATAATTGTATTAAATCAAATGTTTATTAATGAAGTACACATACACATACGTTCATATTTAAATATTTTTTATATTTAAATATATTTAAATATATTTAAAACAGATATTTAAATATATTTAAATATATTTAAAACAGACTGAATATCACGCCTATTATCAATGAATATAATGATAAAGATTAGTCCATCCATATGAATATAACTATAAATAGCGTAAATAATAGTATAAGAGTGATTATGTGAACGAATGTCTATATGTACTTCATTATTTTGAGTGTATGTGTACGTGTATGTGTATGTGATGTGTACTTAATAAACATTTGATTTAATATATGATTATAGTTTATCCTTTTATAATTGAATGATTAAACGAACTTACCTGTAAGTGAAGTTCTATCATAATTGTATGAAGCGCCTCTTCCGAAGAGATCAAATTGTAGTACCTTCTCTAAATACCGATGTCGCCACAATATTCCAAGTATAAAACTTTTGTACGTTGTCTATCCTGGTAGGCGTGTCGCTCATTCGTATTTAAAGTGCTTTCTTTTTGGGAAAAATTCTCGGATTTATATGTTGAGAATTAGGGAGTATTTGTACTGGGAGGCGCTTCGGAAGAGGCGCTTCATACAATTATGATAGAACTTCACTTACAGGTAAGTTCGTCTAATCATTCAATTGTATATCGCGCCTCTTCCTCGAGATCAAATTGTAGCTGTTCAAAGTCTTTTACAGCACTGATTTCACGCCCAAAATATTTATCAGCAACATTCGTCTATTTATAGATACACGTACATATTATCTTATTAGTATTATGATATTGCAGTAACATTAGTATTAATATTTACTTATCTAACTTGTTTTTTTTTTTTTTAACTTTGGTTCAAAATTGCCAACGCATATGACTTATTGTCTGGAATAACTGGACGGTTATAAAACCTGGCAAAAGACTTAGATTTTTTAGTCCATCCGGCGGCTTTAAGAATTAAATCTACATTGATGCCACTGCGCTCAGTAGCAGACGTTGATGCATGCCTTGTGCTATAAGCACTGAACTTAGAAGTATCTAACCCGCTATTATTTAAGACAGATTTTATCCATCGACTTAGAGTTTGACTTCCTACCGCTTTGTGAGGCTTCTTTATTGCAACAAAGAGTTTATTCTTTCCACCTCGAAGAGCTTTAGTTCTTTTCAAATAAGTAGTCAATGCAATCGCTGGACATATTGACGAGTTACTTTCAAAAACCGGTATTATCAGGTTTGGTTGAACTTTCCCGGGTTTCGAAATCTTTATATTTTCTGAGATCTTAATTTCGTATTTATCCTCATTTTGCATAATATTCCTTATATCTATCAAGGTCAACGTTTGCATACGATGGCTTGTGACCAGAGCCAGCAAGGTGACTAACTTTTTTGACAATTCATCAAGTGTAAGATCATCATTTGAGTTTAGTTTACCTAGATACTCTAAGACTATCTTCGGATCCCAGGTACAATCGTATTTGGCCCTAGGAGGCTTCAACTTAGCTACACCTTTGAAAAAACCTTTGATTCTGGAGTCATCTGCAAGACTGGACCCTTGAATCTTCCCGATAGCAGATCGGAAACAATTTAAGGTTCCGTATGAAGCACCATTTTTATATTGTATGGTCAAAAACCTCAAGACCATGGGCACTGTAATCTGATAAGGGTCAGACTGATTGACGCCGCAGAATCTCCACCACTTCTTCAATCCAGTATTGTATTGCTTCAGCGATGATTCACTAAGTGACGCTATAATAATATCTGTAGATTCTGTCGGTGTCTCGTTCAATTGGAGTGCTCTCCTGATATAATTCCTGCAACCAGGGTAATCCTCGACCAAAGGGGATGAGGTTCCCTGTTCGAGAATTGTAACAAATTAATATCAGGTTTGAAATAAATTGGTGATGACTCAAGCATGGACATGTACACTGGAAACCAAGCCTGAGCTGGCCAACGCGGGACTACCAGAATCCCTCTACTTCTTTCGAATCTAATTTTTTCAAGAGTACGCAAAACAATTGAAAAGAGGGGAAAGGCATAAAAAAAATATTTTTTCCAGCTCACAGTAAAGGCGTCAATTACGATTGACCCAGGATCCTTTTTCCATGAGATGTATTGCTTAGATTTCGTGTTCGTTCTAGTAGCGAAAATATCAATTTCTGGATTTCCAAACTTTGAGACTATTTGACGGAAAGCTGATTGTGCTAACGCAAATTCTGTCTCGGGCTCTAGTCTTCGAGACTCAAAATCTGCCTCAACGTTATCTTTAGAGGCTATGTAGCTAGCGAATATCCATAAATTTTTATTTTCGCACCACTGCCAGATTTTCTTTGCAATTTTTGCTAATTTTGGAAATCTAACACCCCCTTTTTTGTTAATATAAGCTATGGCTGTGGTGTTGTCTATTCTCAATAAGACATCACAATCTCTTAACTCTTTAGCGAAGCATTTTAAACCGAACCACGCGACCAATAATTCCAGATAATTAATATGCTGATCTCGTTCCTCCTCATTCCAGTAACCATTGACTCTATGTTCGTTACAATATGCTCCCCAGCCTGAAGAGGACGCATGCGAAAAGATTTCAACTGCTGGGTCGAATCTCCTTATATGATTCTTTGCCTGACTTATATGTTTACTCCACCAATCAAAATCCTCCTCCAATTCAGACGATAATCTCATGATAGCCTCAAAATCATCATTGTTACGTTCAAGCGCCAAGAATCGTTCTCGTTCGAAGGCTCTCATGTAGACTCTCCCGTACTTTAAAGTTATACAACACGAGACCAAGGTTCCAACAAAAGAAGCAAAGTCTCTTATTTTACATTGTTTCATGACTCTGAAATTATCAATTTTAGATTTTACTTTCTCTTGTTTTTCCAATGGAAGCTCTACAACCATTTCTTCTGAATCGTAGATGTTTCCAAGGAATTTGCGCCTAGTTGAAGGAACCTTGTGGCTTTTTCGTTCATTAATTAAAAATCCTAATTTTTTGAGTAACCTAACAGTAACCTGTACGCTTTCCAGACATTTGATTTTAGAATTCTCAATAAACAAAATATCGTCCAAGTATATGACTAATGTATAACCCAAGCTCCTTAAATATGAGATAACTGGTTTCATGACCTTAGTGAATGTATATGGAGCCGTACTTAATCCAAATGGCAAACAAGTAAATTCAAACAATTTTCTTTGAAATCTAAATCTTAAGAATTTTCGATCTGACTTTCTAATTGAAATGAGATAATAGGCGTCTTGAAGGTCGATTGATGCCATGTAACAGTTGGGAGTTAATAACCGTCTAACAACTTTATCATCCTCTAATTTAAAATGTTCCATATCAATGAATTTGTTGAGATTTTTCAAATTTAAAATTAACCGATACGACCCATCTGGTTTCGTAACTAAGAAGATTTTTGAAATAAATTGTCCTTTAGTTGGAGTTACTTGACAAATAGCACCTTTTTTAAGCAGCTCATTTAACTGTTCACGAATTGCAGTACTTTCCTGCAGTGACCACTTAGGTTCTACAGGTGGAACAGCTTGTGATACCTTGGATACAAATGGTATTTTATACTCTTTAATCCAGCTCAGGATTAGCTTATCAGACGTGATGTCCGACCAGTGTGACTGAAAATGCCTGAGTCTACCTGCTAACCCACTTACAGTCGTTACTCTTGCTTCTTCGCTACTGACTGATTGTCCTTCAGTTGTGTTGATTGACGGCTGGGCTGTTTCTGCTTCTGGTACGACTGGTAAGGCCTCCGCCCGCTCGACACTGAGTTGCGCGTCCATTTGGACGGTTGACGACGGAGCGGGCGTTTCGAGTTTTTTGATTGACCCGTCTGGTTCTGTTGAGTGTTAGGCTTCAAACTCTTGCTCGAATATTCAAGAGTTTTTGCGGCTTTTACTTTTTCTTCCAACTTCTCTCCGAAAAGCCATTCACCGACGGTGGTTGCGTTAAGCGTCTCTCTCATCGATGCATTGATGTTCTTTACAATAAGGCTCCGACGAACGCTGGATTCTACATGCTGAAGATCTGCCATGAGTTGCAAAACTCCCCACAAGGATTCTGTCAATTCCTTGGTTGGCAGCTTCTCTTCGCTTTTAAGACTCGTGATTTTAACGAGTACGTCCAACAGACCCGCTAGACTAGTCGTTATCCTCGCCTGCTTCTCAACGATTCGACTGTCTCTCTTTGTTATGGTTTCCTGAAGGCAAGCTTTTAATTCTGGATTCAATTTGGGAGGATCCATCATTAGACAATTCTCGGGTGATGGAAATTTTTTGAGCAACCTTTTCTTTTTGTCCGCAGGAAGACCTTTTTTGATTACTTCCTCTATTCCGGCCACGAACTTTGTGTGTATGGCAGGCGCTAGCTTCCTATCCGGATGAACCCTTTCTCCTATAGCCTGAAGGATCTCGGGGGCAAGGTCTGGTTCTTTCTGTATACCTGCTGATGAGGATTTCTCCTCAGATTGATTCAGTCCTTGAACAGGCGTAGATCTCTGAGCGACCTGGCCAGATTGAACAACCTGATCTGTCAAGGCCACTTGGTTCTGTTCGCCAGCGTCGCTGATTGGCGTTGTATCTTTTGGATCAACGTCTTCTGAACTCTGAGATCTTCCTCTGTGTCTTGAAGATACAATGGGATTGTTATTCGAGACCGAGCTTCCTCGTGATCCACGATCATGGTGTGAATCACTACAATTATCATTTTGCGTCTGATTAGGGCTTCTAGTACGTTCTTGACTTGAACGTCGTTCACGACTTGAATATCGTCCCCGTCGGTCATAATAATAACCATATAGGTATTATAATGGACTCTTCTATCGCCATGTCTGCTAGAACGTTCCTCACGATAGCGCCTATCATGATAATCCGGATACGATCGATGTCCGTGTTTATCGCCTCTTTGATAACCTGTTATATCAAAATCAGATCGTAAATACACTTAGGTATGTCAGACTTTTGCACAGTTGGACTGTGAACGAATTGTTATTTCTATCAATGTCAGTTGGACCGACTTGATAGGTTATGCATATCGACAGTTGTCAAATACGGTCGGACCGTACGTGGATTTCTATACCGATGTCGGTTGGACCGACATGGTAAGGTTATGTGTAACGTTAGCATTGTCAGATGTCGGTTGGACCGACCTGACCGCAACTTGGCACATAATTTTGACAACATTTGTTCGGCGTAATAATATGCAACAGCTCTTCCGCTGTGTACGCTCGATCGCCGGCTTGCGAGCCGGTCTCGTGTGCTTCCGATTAGGAGAGCAATTACGAGAGAGCGAGGCACGTGTCCGTCTCGTTTCCGCGTGCCGAAAAACGAGCGAGTGAAAAACTTGGCCCGCTGAGGTGTCGTTATTGCCGCCACGGCTTGCGAGCCGGTCGGCGACACCGCCCTAAAATTAGGTTAAGTGTGTTTTTAACTTACCACAACAACTTGATTTATCTTTCTTTTGACGATCAATTCTTTTCTTTAATCGCTTAATTTCTTTCCTCAACTCATTCTCCTTGTCTTCATCTCTTACTGAATGTCTCTTCCTTTTGTTCGACATTATTCTCTTGCTGAAAATTTTTTCTCGTGTGACGTGTTCGGCACAAAGAAGAAGAATGAGCGACACGCCTACCAGGATAGACAACGTACAAAAGTTTTATACTTGGAATATTGTGGCGACATCGGTATATAGTAGAAGGTACTACAATTTGATCTCGAGGAAGAGGCGCAATATACAATTATTTTAATTTACTTCATTTTATTATTTTTTTAGTACCTGCACCTATTTATTTAATCGATTCCGGAAAACTACTTGTTGTAGGATTCCATTCCAAGATTCTAAACAAAAATATGACGATACCAAAAAACTATGATAATTTTGAAAAAAAATATTTTGTTTTTTAAAGTACCTTCTACCCATTTTATTGATTCAAAACAATTACTTGTTGTAGAATACCGTCTCAAAAATTTACAAAAAAATATGGCAATGATACAAAGAGCATATCATAATTAAAAAAAATAAAAAACAATATTTTATTTTTTTGAACTTTTGCCTACTTATTTTATTGGTTCGAAAAAATTATTTGTTGTAGAATAATATCCCAAAATTCTACATAAAATATATGGCAATCGTACCAAAAGCATATCATATTTTTAAAAAATAAAAAAGAATACTTTATTTTTGAAAAGTGCCGCCTACCCATTTTATTGCTTTAAAGAAAATTATGTCTGATAGGAAACTACTTCAAGATTCTATAAAAATGTTTTCGTAATTGTGCCAGAAAGATAACGGGACTAAAAAAAAGCAAGAACATTTATTTACTTTTTTTCTCAATGTTTCTGTCATCAGAAACCTTTCCCGAATTTTCCACAAATGTGTTTCAATGATATCTACAACATATTAAAATTTCATTAAAATTGCTTAAGCCGATCAAAAGATATGAATTATTTTCAAAATTTTTATTTTTATTTTTTATACAAAAACGGTTCAATATTAAGGGCTAATATTTGACTAAATTGTAAGTGACACTAATAGCAATCAGAGGAAAAAAAATGAGCATGATCCGTGTGGGGGCACATTGATCCTTTTTATCCGGCTACGGCCTTTGTAATTTTTTTTCTAGGTAGTACAAAAAAATCCTTTTAAGGTTTTTTACTTCAGAGGTAAATGTTCAAGAAAGAAAATAATGCAGATTGATATCTTCAAAAAAGTTGAATTATTCAGGAGAGTCAAAATGGTCAACATTTTAGGTAGGTAAAATCGTTGATAAATGAAAAATTAAAGGTAAAATTATATTTAATATAGCAAATATGACATTTTTGTAATAATTCATTACAAATTTATGTAATATATAACATGTAGAATATGTTGAAAAAATTCATCCACCGATCTTCGGCCGCCATTTAAAATTTTATTTGTTGGGGGGGGATAACTAAACCGTAGAGGAACAACTATTTATCTAAAAATCTTTTAAAGAGACGTTGTTTTGACCAAAAACAACATTTATCATAAATAATGGCAACATTGTTACTTAGTATAGATAAAGACTATGTCAAGTGTAGGCTGGATCTGAGACGTCCGTGCGAAATTTAACTTGCTCGACATTCGACATGTTTTTATTTTTCAAAGTGGTTTGGATTTCTTCCCCCATCTACTTTTTTTAAAAGGGGAAGCTAGTCAGGCTTGCCGGTTCACTGAAAGCCGAAAAACAGTAATAATTACTGTATTTTTGCTCATTCTCAACTTTTAATCTTTCTTACAGTAACCATTACGCATTACTACAGTAAACATTCTCCCAATAACCAGTACGGATTTCACAGTAACCATTACGATAAAGACTAGTAATGATTCCGGTGCAATATTTTAACAAAAAAAAAGAATTTTTTTCTTTTTTATTTTCTAATTGCTTTTTTTTATTTTCAAATTGCTCTTATTTTTTTCTAATATTTTCATAGTTTAATTTGTATTCGTGGTTTTGCATATATTCTATTTTATATTAATTAAAATTACGCACTGTTTTACAATTTTTGAAAACACATTGACGGGATTCGAATCTAAGATTCCGGAATAACAACCTAATACGCTAACGCTGAGCTAACAATATATTCTACAATAACTATTATGAATCTCATATATCTCTGAACTGCTGTGAACTCGCGCAATAGAACGAATATGGAGAGCCAACAGTAATGGTTACAGAATCGCATGATTGAATAATCAAATTTCTCAGTAATTATATATTTCTCTTCTATTATTTCTTTCAGACAATGTCGCTTACAATCTTAATCTTTAGAATTACTGTGTTTTTCAGCAGACAAGACTTTTAAGTAAGCATATGTGTATTGAGATTAAAAGTTGAGAATGAACAAAAATTACTGTTTTTTGGCTCCCAGCGTTAATTCTCAAGTTACGAGCATATGTTGTTTTGGCACAGACGCCGTAAATCTCTGTATATAGGTAGAGAAATATGTATTTATGTATGTAGATATAGTAGATATAGTACGCAGTATCTATTCACTTCCTACTACTATCATTGTTGAAATTGAATGACGACATTCGCATGCAGGCTCTATTGGCAATATAAGCGAATTATGACTTTTTTTTAACGCGGGGAAATCTTCTACTACTGGGATCCCAGGCCGAAGCCCGGTTTACCCAGTAGCCCCTTCCGAGGAGGGGAAAAACCCCCTCGTCTCTGGGGAGAGACGAGGGAAGTGCCGGGTTTTTACTGGCTAAAACCCCGCGGGTGTCCACACGGCGCGTTTTTTACAATGAGAGGGGATCCCGGGAAACGCCCTGATTTGTCCGGGGCCCAAGCGAATTATGACTAATAAATAGAAATTACTTATAACTTTATAGAAGGTAAAAATATTATTTCAAACGATCCGGAAAGTTCTGGAACTTTCCAGATGTCTAAAATTAACTCGCCTCTACGTATATAAAAAACGTTAAGTGATTGCGCGCTTTATTTATAGTATACTGCTTCATATTAAACTCGATCTGATATGAAAACTTTGCAAAAGAGCTTATACAATCCGGACCACTTTTTAGTATCAAGAGACACGGTAGTGTCTCGCGCCAAGTACACGCGGAGCGAAACCGACCGTGACTCTTTTACGCGACGCGACGATTTGCGAATACTCGAGATGTTGAGATCTCATATAACGAGTGAACGGATCAAGTTTTAAGTAGGCTTGATCGATAGCTTGGGTCAAATTAGGGGGGGTATTTCCTATAATATTTTCCGCTACGTGCCCTACGAGCGGAGATATTGAGACGCAAAGTCCAAATGTGAAAAATTTTATTTAAGATACTCCTCCTCCTCCTCCTCCTCCTCCTAACGCCGCGACGTCTTATAACATATATATATATATATATATATATATATATATCAGAGAAATGTCATTTTCACTTTTTCGACGCTGGCGGCGCAGGTATCGCCAGTTTCGATATCGCGCGCGTATTTCGATCGATCTAGTAGGTAAATTAGGTCGATAGACTTATCGGTCAGGAGGAAAATTTCTATTTAGGTAAATTAGGTATATATATTGAGTCAATTGCTTCATGTTTATCTGGAGAGAGAGAGAGAAAGAGAGATTTCGTATCCTTACATCGTATTACCACCGTTGCCGGAATAGAAGGTTCTCTACGCTTGGCAGAAAGTGCCGCTAGGGAATTTTTAAGTCGATTCTTATGAATCAAGCTTGAAT